GGGAGTGGCGGGAGCATGCCAGTCCGGGAAAAGGCGGGACGCACTGGAAAAGCTGGTTGGGTGTCTGTTTCAGTGGTAACTGGGGAATCACTGCAGGGTTATCAGCGCAGCTTCAGGGAAATAACCCACAGCGGAGTCAGAACTCATGGGCCAGGCTGAGCTGGGGGACCCGGGTAACAAGAGACAACCCCCTACCGGCCCAGCCACAGGGCATAAGGAGCGAGCGCTGTCTGGATGTGTCTGCGAAGCCCCCCAGGCACACACGTACAGACACACGCATCATCCCTGAAGCTCAAAGCGGCTCCCGCTGCCCAGCTCTATCTTCAATGCCCCACCCCAAGGCAAGGCTGTTGTTCTCGGAAGTAACAAAGCCACTCCTAAAATATTTTCTACACCCCTCCTCTGGCTTGCCCTATCTGCCTTGAGACATCTGACCTCCCGCCTGGCTTAGCCAATGACACATGCTAGGATCAGTACGATGCGGTAGCTCCCTTCCCACACCAAACAATGTCACCTGCCTGAGCAGGCCTGTGAGGCGCCAAGTGGGAAGCAGGAACCACGGGAGAGGTCAGTAGCTTCACTGGTCTGAACTAAGACAGTGGTTCTTAAGGCATCAGAATCTCCTGGGGAGTTTTTAAAACACACCATGGTGGTTCCAATCCCCAGAGAGCTGGGGTGGCCTGGGCTTCAGTGCAGCTTACAATGCAGCCCCAGGTGGAAACCAGTTCTTTGAGGAAAGAGTTCAACCTGCGGACTCCAAGATGGCCTCGAGTCTAACGGCACAGACGAGCGGCCGCAGCAGACTGCAGCCAGGATCTCCGCCTGAGACGCGTGGCCGAGGCAATACCACCCCCTGCTCCCTCGCTCAGCTCTTCTACAAGTCTCCAGGAGCAAAACAGGCCTCTAAACCACCAAAGAAACACCAGAAAAGCCACACACTTAACTCGCGGCTCAGGCCCTCTGCACCCCTCACTCTCCCTCTGGACTCAGGACTCCCCACCCGGGTCGTGTGGTCTGCCTGAGCGCCACCCCGCTGGAGGCAGGCGCACTCACAGCATCGAGCAGCAGCAGGACAACCCCGCCAAGCATAGGTTTAAACCCACCCATCTACGTCTCAGACAAGCGCCTGGGACCACGCCACACACAGGCTGCTCCAGGGACGCTCGGGCTGCCTGAGAGGGGACATAACAAACACGCAGCTCAGATTCGGACCCGCTCTGGGGCAGCACTGCCCCTGGGCGTGCCGTACCGGCCCAGCCCCAATGGACAAAGAGCAACGGTGAGGAAAAGACTGGAAAACTGGGCTTTTTGTGCCAAATCCATGACCCCTAATCAATCCCCCTGTCACTGAGAAGGGCCTGGCCAACACAGATGCTGCCTATGATCAAGGAAGGACAATCGCACGCCTCGTCATCTATGTGCAAACATGTGAGAAAGGCTGTGTGCACGTTTTTTTAAAACAGCCACCCAAATGATTCAGTTTATAAGTTTTCGGTGCATAAAAGTGAGACTGTGTGACTGAAATGCACTTAAATATGACAAGGGTGACACACCCACATGAAGACAGAACTGGAGAAGGGCGCAGGGCTCCTGCAGCTGGCGCCAGGGGCCCTGCCAGGCAAGCCCGGTCTGCGGGGGCACTCCCCCGCCCCAGAGCGTCCCCTGTGGGCGGCAGTCCTCTGGCCAGCTGCCGCCTACCTTTGGCATGAAATGTCCAGCCCCTCCGCCAGTACTCCTGCAGCTGGACCCGCTCCTGCTGCCCGAGGCTGCAGACCTCACTGTAGAACTGCCGCTCGATGTGCACGTAGGCCGCTGGGATGGCGCCCGCCACCCCCTTGGCCCCGAAGAAACCGTTCACCTCCGGGGAGGCCAGCAGGATCTGGTACTCAGCCCGCGTGCCCAGGACCAGGTCCATGTAGGCCTGGGTCAGGTTGAAGTAGCCGGTGGTAAGGTAGACCCTGGCGCCGCGCTCAGCCTCTGTCAGCAGGGTCTCGGTGACAATCTCGTCGATCTGGATCTCGAAGGGCTTCATCTGTATCAGAGGGTAAATCCAGGTGTCGGGGGCTGGCCTCCGGTCACCAGCGGCTGCTGCGTCTTCCTGGGTCAACAGGGAGTCGCTGTGGAAAGTCTGGGCATGCAGCGCTTGCTGGCGGGCCCGGGCCGAGCTGACCACACCCATGACCCGCTCGTTGGCTGCCTTGCAGTATGCAGCCCGGTCACCTGGAGAGAGACATGGGGGTGGAGGGTGAGGGAAGAGAAATAGAGGCTCTGGCGTCCTGCCCAGCCCAGGGATCACGATGGGCAGGCAGACGCCACAACGCACTGAACACGTTTCGACTGCGCACAAGGCATCATGCCCCGAGCGAGGCTTTTCTGCGTGTGTGAATACCCAAGACGGGGCCTCGCCGCAGGGACGTGTCATCCACAGGCTTCAGAACAGGCCAGGCTAACGGGAGGTGACGGAAACCGGGAGGAAACGCTTGGGGGCAAGGGACACAAGGGGGTGTCCGAGAGCCAAGCACTGTAAGCACAGACACAAGCCGCATGCCCGTAACTGTTGTTTGCTGTGCGTGTGACGCTTCAGTGATGTCTATCAATCAAGACACCGGAGAGTATAACCAGAGGAGAGAGCCACACAGAGCCGCTACAGAACCAGCACAGCTGAGTGGGAAAGCTCCCCGTGGGTGGGGACAGGGCAGGAGAGGCCTCTGAGGGCCGAGTGTGAACGCACAGGCTCGGGGCCCCTCGTATTTACAAGAGGCAACGAGCAGCGGTCCAGACATACTAAAGAGAAAGAAATGACTGTGAGTTATCGTTAGATGAGATAAGCACCCAAGACATTAGCGGGGGAACAGTACGAAACGGGAAAATATCAACAGTGTCCAAAGTTGATTCTCTGAGAAGACCGATCAAACGGCCAGCCTTTGGCGAGGCTAACCATGAAGGAAAGAATGGCCGCCCCGGGCGTCCCCGCTCGCTCACACGGGGACCGGGTCACACGCCTGAGTGCCTCCCGGGGCTGGGCTACCGAACAAAGAGAAGCAGCGGCCTGTGCACAAACCCGTCCTTCCTAACGCCAGCAGCCACCAGGGCAGCAGGCGGCCGCCTTCCACACGCCGTCTCAGGCTGAGTGTCCCCTGCACCTTCTGAGCCCAGCCACCCCCATGTCACCCGAGCACGCTCTCCTCCCTGAACGCGGGGACCTTTTCTCTGCACATTCATGCCCAGCCTAGCGAGTCAGACTGGGGTCGGTGACGTTTTCTGTGGGCCAGAGAGTAAACATTTTAAGCTTTGGGACCAAAAGGCAAAATCGAGGATGATATATAGGTACTATTTTAGATAACGAGAGAAAGATTTCCATCATTTTTTTATTGAGGAAATCCAAACAATAATGGTAATGAGCATCCAGGCTAGTGGCAGGCATACTAGGCCCACAGACGCCCTGGCCCCCGGGACAGGCTCCCACCAGGCGTCCCCACTTAGACCTTCTCCCTCTAGACTGGGCCCCAGGAGGCTCTCCTCACACAGTCGGGTTTAACCCCTTCCCCACACTGCTGACACTTGCAGATTCACCAGGCCTTGCTGGCGGCGGTCAGGAAGTCCCCACCGCAGGAATCACAGGATGGCGAACGCCCAGGATGCGAGCTGCCAGGACTGGCCCATCTCCAACGAGCAGAGCTAAGGGCTCTCCATTTCACTTTCCAGGCAGGAGGCCACAGACCTCAATGGAGCTGAGAGGCACCAAAGCCTCCTTGCGACAGAGGAAAGCAGGCCCCAGGAAGGCAGTCACCACGCAGCTGCTTCCTGTAGGTACAGGGCCTGCTCACGGCTCGCCCGCCCAGGCGCACAGGCCCAAAGCCCACGCTCTCACCTTCTCGGGCGGGCTCCTTCACTCGTAGAGCATGACTGACAGCCAGTGAGTCACCTCTGTCTGGCTTCAGTGACAAATGCAGAACAGGGCTCTGCCAGCCAAGTCTCCCAAGCCTGGTGGCAAGGCCACCGGCAGCATGCTTGCCTCCGCCCTGGCCCCTACACACACACACGCTAAGGAGGGGGCAGAGCCCAGGGCCCTACCTTTGTAAGGATGCACCATACCCTCCACCACCTGCACCGTGTCATCCCCCTGCAACTGCAGGGACACGTCCCCCACGGCGTCCACCAGCTCCGTGAAGAAGTCCGCGATCTCGGGACAGTCCTGCAAGAACACGTAGCGGTCCTGGCGGTTGGTGAAGTAGGAGTCACTCAGGTTGGCGCTGCAGGGAGGAGAGAAGCAGGTGAGGACTCAGGCAAGAGGGGGCACAGCAGGTCCCGGTGATCCAGGTCTCGGGTGAGCTAGCACAAGCACGGTGGTGACACCCCGGACCAGGATGCAGCAGCAGCAGCAGCCAGTGGACAATCAGCTACTAAGCATGACCACTCAGAAGACACAGGCGAGAGTGGCACTAAGGTGACATGACAGAGTGGACGGCAAAGCCCCTCCCCTCACAGAGCTGCCCATCAGCTGAGAAGAAATGCAGACACGTACGACGTGAACCGCCCACGGGACTGGCTACCAGTGCCTGCGTTTCAGAATCGAAACGGCCTAGGTCTCCAGCCCGGTCCTGTCTGTTTTCCCTTCTGTTTTGCTGGCTCTGCCTGACGAAGTTACTCGTGCTCTCTGAGCCCCGGTTTCTCGTGTAAAAAGTGAGGGAACTACCACCCACGGCCAGTGTGAGAATCGCACTGAGACGGGCACACGGGGGACTGGGCATGGCGGCTGGCGCACAGCAAGTGCTCAGCAGACCCTGCCTTTTATTTTCTACAATGAAGAAAAACGCAATTTTATTATTTTTTTTTATCCCCGTTCCCCACCCCATCCCTTTGGCAACCATCAGCTTATTCTCTGCACCTACGGGCTCGTTTTGTTTTTGCATTTGCTTGGGTTTCTGAGATTCCGTACAAAGTGAGGTCATACGGTGTCTGTCTTTCTCCATCTGACTTATTTCACTTCCCATAAGCCCTCTGGGCCCACCCACACTGTCACAAATGGCCAGGTTTCATCCTTTCCTACAGCTGAGTGACATTCCACAGCACATACGGACCACATCTTTACCCATTCATCTCCCAACGGACGTCGACACTGCTACTGAATCTTGGCCACCCTGGCTGTGTTTCAATCACCCTGTGTGAGCTTCCGGCCGCCACGCAGATGCCGTGGAAGACCGAGAGTGTGAGGCAGGCAGACTGAAAACACACGAGCAGGCTCTCGAAGGCCCAGGGAGGCGGCTTTCCCCTTCTGTCCTGCTGATTTCCGCCCTGGAGCACATTGAGGGGAGGTGCCGGCGGAAGGAGGCGTGCTCACCCGCTCAAGATGACACTGTTGTCAAAGAGGTACACTTTAATGTGCTGGAGGCCGATGGTCTCATTGAGGCGCTCCGGGACCAGGAGCCGGAGCAGGCCGCGGAGGTCCGGGGTGTGGAAGAGGGAGACCCGGACCTGTTCCGGGAACCTCTGCAGGAGTGGCAGCAGCATCGTGCGAGAGTTCTTCCGACCTGAGCACGGGGTGAGCAGCAGAGACAAACAGGCGATTCACGCCAGGAAAATACGGCTCCGGGAAGGGCGGACCACCCACCGCGGGCCCATGGCCACCCATGCTGCCCGTGCAGGTCGGCCAGCCGTCTGCTGTTTCTAGCCAGCGACCCATTTGGGACACCACCACGCCTCGGGGCAGGACCAATGTGACCAGGTGGCAGACACCTGCTCTTTGACCGACTGGCACCCACTCCCCCAACTCCTGCAGGTACCACCCCACCCTGCTCTTACATTCTGCTCTGGATGAAGACGAATCTACCCACCAGGAGCCCGCACCCCTAGGAGGGGTATGCACCAGACCTGGGCTAGACTGGTGTGCACACTTGGAGCCCCTGAGCGGTGACAGGCAGCTCTGGTCTGACCACCAGGGAAGCAGACTCTTCCAATGGACAAGTGTCATGGTGAGCAGGGCCTGGCCATTAGAGGCCACCTCACAGAGCCTGAGACTGAGGCCAGCCCAAAAGAAGGAAGGCCAGGACACGGGTCCTGATGACATATTTAAACTCCGAGTCATGACCCACCCGAGGCGGGTCAATCATGGGAGTCGGAAGAACTCTCTCTGCCTACGTTGTCGCTAGCTGGGCTTGCAGCCGTGTGCTGCAGGAGGGACCCGAGCTCAGATAGTCTTGGTCCCGGGCCGGTAACAGCCCCCACTGTGCCTGAGGGCAGGAAGGTCAAGTGTGATCCCTTCACGGGACCTGGAAGAGGGGGGCGCACGGGGAGCACACCAGACCCACCTCGTGATCCCCGTGTGAAGTCCAAAAGAATGGACACCTTAAGGTCTGAAGGGAACTTCGCTTGGAGTGACTTTTCCAGAGTGCTTTCCAGGCAATCCACCTACCAAGAGAACCCCAAAAGAACAGAAGTGTTGAGGTCCAAAAAGGGATTACATATGAAAAATTAATCAGCCCGCCCGCTAACGCCCCGCTTTGAACACACAGCCCCACTAACGCGAAACTTCTTCATCGGAGGCAGGAACCAGAAGACACTGCCCGACGCCCCTCTCCAGCCCGGACCCTGCCACTGTAAGGCACCAGCTCCCACACACGTTTCAACAGGTAACCCTCACAGACACATGACAACTGGTGCCACCTCAGGGAGAGAACAGCAAATATCAGTCAGATGGAAGAATCCAGGACACAGCCTGCCCACCGGCTCGTCTCCAGGACCAACGGGCACCCACCCTGCAGCTAAGAGTATCTCCCGGAAACGGGGAGGCCCCGCCTCACAGAGAAGAGGGGGAAGCACTTGCTCTCAGCAACCATCCCTCTTGCTCTCTACGCCCCAACCCGGCACCGCCCAGCTCCTACCTGCGGCTTTCTAAACGGGGTGAACCAAGAACAGCGCCTCCTATGGGCAACGCGTCCATGTCACTACCCCAGAGCGGACAGCCACCAGGGAGCCTGAGACAGCGCGACTCATTCACAGTCACGCCAGCTCCACCTGCAGACGCTGCCCGCACACCAGGACCTGCGCCGACTCAGACTGTAGGGAGCGCACACTGTCCAAACCTGGTGACTTCTCCTCCTCCCCACCCCTGCCTGTCCCACCGTAGGTGATGCATATAGCATGACAGCAAGTCCAGGTGGAACAAGGCTGGCCAGCCCCACCTGCACTCTAGTCCAGTACGAGGTCAGAAGACCCTTCCTGGAAAGGGCCAGACAGTAAACATTCTGGGCTTCGTGGGCCAGATGGTGTCTGTCACAACCACAGTTCCGCCACTGCAGCAAAAAACCAGCCCCAGACAAAACATGAAGGAAGGAGAGCGGTCATGTTCCCATAAAGCTTTATTTAGGGACGGAAATTTCAATCTCACAGGCTTTTCATGTGGCACAAATATCATTCTTTTGTTTTTTTCCCAATCATTTGAAAATGCAAAAACCAACCTTAGCTCATAGGCCATACAAAAACAGGTGGCAGGCCAGACCTGGCAAGCCCTGGACTGGCAGACTGAGCAGGCTAGGGACCCTGGTGCTGGGTGAAGGGGGCACTGGCCAGCAAGGCCAGCAGGCCCAGCATAAGACCTCTGCACTCCCTCCTCCCTCACGGGTCCCCCTGACAGGCGCCGGTGTCCGGGCAACGAGAACAAGAGCTGACCGTGAGCCAGGGCCAAGGAAAGGCCGCTCTCTGCCAACGTCACGGCGCTGTGCAGTGTGAGGCTCTGAGGTGATTTCCCCGCCTCAAACCTTACCAGCTCCTGTTCCAAAGGACCTGTCCCCAGGTAGAGGGACGCCATCACGACCCGCCTCTTGGCTACTTTTATCTGCCCCTGAAAGAGAAGAGACAATTCAAAATTCGCAACCATCATTTTCATAATCCACTGAGAAAATAAAGTCCTTTGACCTTGAAGGCAAATAACACTGCAAGCTGAAGTATTCTACATCTTTGCCAATATTTAAAGCAAGCCTGACAGGTATATGGTAACCTACCAAATCAGGACCCACAACCCTGATTTAAAATACTCAGCCTGAAAGTAAAACAGGATCTAACTGTACAAGACACAATGCAGCCACCAAAGGCAGGGAGGCGAGCTGTACGCACTGACCCGGAATGTCTGTGCTGCATGCTGAGAGACCAGAGCGAGTCACTAGGCAGGAGGCAAGCCGCCCTCCCTCCGTCCACACCCCAGCCCGCACGTGTGTGTGCAGAGCACGCAGGACGCACATGAAGCTGCCAAGAGGCCAGGAGCGGAGCCGGAGGCGGAGAACGCGGACGCAGACAGGCGATGCCCCCGCCCCATGTGCGCAGCTGGAGTTTTAGGAGGAGCATGTACATCACTCCTGAAATGCACACACACAGGTGTCCGGACACACAAACAGCATTTGGAGATGACACACTACACTACTCCTGACAGCCGGTGTCCTCTCCCTAGGCCTGCTCCAGCCACTGAAGGACAGCTAACTCCATCTCCAGAAGTCGAAGCAGCCCCACCCCAGAGGAGGTGGCAAGGGCAGAAGGAGCAGCAGCACTGCCCAAGGTCGAGCTCTCGACAGACACACAGGAGCGCAAGGCCCCGTGAGGGAGGATGGCAGAGAGTGTGGCATCACCTCCTTTCCTAGCGAGAAGCGATGCCACAGACGCCGCAGCCGTGGCCCCGCACTGTCAACAGGAGAGAGACATCTCGACTACGTGAACACGCCACAGAGAAAAGGCCTGCGTACCCGAGAAACGAAAGAACCTCCCGAGTCTCCTTCGTTATTTATGAAGATGGACGCTTATGGGGAAAGTGATTATGAAGAAAAGAAGAAAAAAAGAAAGGAAAACAACAAACGGGGTACAGGGCGGTTCGGTTCAGGCGACGCGGCTACCTGACTGCTGTGGGACACAGGTCTTCCGGCGCAACCTTGGCTGTAGCGACGGCACAGGGACCAGGCCGACCCCAGCGCTGCACAGTCCCCAGGGAACACAGGCCGCTCTGTGTCCCGGGAAGAAACACATGCCCCTCGGTGCAGCGTGTGCCCACGAGCGGGAGGCCGTGGCTGCTGCCTGGTCTGCCGGGCCCCTCAGGCCTTTCCTGGCTTCCACGGCGCCGCCCCTCCCCAGGCAGCTGTGCACGTAGCCTGGCCTCCTGGCCAAGGGATCACCGTGTAAAGACTCAGTCACGCACCCGCTGCTGTGGCCAGGACACTATGAACCTCCTTTGAAAAACCTGTTTCCTCGAGCCAAGCAGAGAACCCGGTAGGAGCAAAGAGCAAACGGCCTCAGCATCAGCTCTACACAAGCGAGGAGGCACGGGACAAACGAGCAGGGCAGGGAAGTGAGGGAGAGGCAGAGTGCATGCGTGCACACGCACACACACACGCACGCACACACGAAGCCATTCTGGAATGAGCTAGCCAGAACTTAAGCTCGGTGAGGCTCACAGAACAACAGGGCAAAAGGAGACAAAATGCGCAGGCATTCACACGAACCAGACGGCGCCCAGTCTGCAGAAAAGTGACTCTCGCCAGAGCTCCCCACGCCCCGGCGTTCTGCCCGTCTGCCCTCGCCATACCTTAATTCTAACATCATTGTTAACATGAACTCAGAGAGTTCATGCTAATAAAAATTAATTAGCAATGAATTACTTCATTCCAGTTAGCAGTTTAACTACGAATCACTAGGCACGGCATGAACACTTGAGTGACGTATTGAAAGCTAAACTCCACAAATGCAAAGTTTAGCATTTCTGCCAGCAGAGAGAAGGCACAAACATTAGACAGAAAAGAAGCAGAGTTTATAAGGCCACATTTTCCAGTTATCTGTAAATGCCTCTTCATGAACGATAGGCTCCCGGCCACTTCCTACATATTGAATCCCATCCGCGGCTCATTTGGCTTTTGGGTCTTTATTTCCTGCACATTACTTCTACCAACATGATGCTGCTTGCTTTGGAGGTGTTTGCAGAGGCAGAGGCCTAGCGTGCCCTGGCTAGGATCCGCCTCGTTTCCTCCCAGACATCTTCAGCAGGGATGCGCCGTGCGGCGCACGGCCCTCACTGACCGCCCGTAGTGGGCTACGTCTCCAACACAGAGCGAAGGGAGCAATCTGTCCCTCGAAACCAAACTTCAGGGCCCGACCCTCCCGGCCCCCATGTTTGGGGTCCCTCTACACTAGCCACGCAGAGGGCTATTGCTCAGGGCTCACTCAGCTCAGCCACCTCTGAGGCAGAACCCACAGGGAAAAGCCAAGCAGCCATCAAAAACTTTCCAAGCAGAAGGTACTTCTGCCCAGGACTCGCCCAACCTTCTGCCCAAAGCCTATAACTCAGATGTCCACCGAGCGCGCACGCTCTCGCTCTCGCTCTCGCTCTCGCTCTGTCTCTCTCTGTCTGTCTCTGTCTCTCTCTCTCTCTTTCTCAGACACCACTTACCTTCATGAGCTCAAAAAACTCTGCGGGAGAAGACAGCACCCTGACGTGAGAGCTGGAGACTCCAAACTCTGGAACCAGGTTTCTGATCCACTGGAACCTGTGCACGCTCTCTGGACACAGGCAGCAAGGAGGGGAGGTGACCTGGGGGACAGCTGGGGACAGCAAAGGAGCCAACAGCAGCCATGGTGACCTGGTTCAAGAGACATGCAAAGGGTCATACTTCTCAAATACTTCCTCGGAAGTCTCTCTCAGCTACTGGGAGAGAAGAGGGCATTTTTTGGTGGGCCAATTTCGGATTTTCTAGACCATTTTCAGTGAGCCCAACCCAAACTCTGCACAAAGGTGTTTCCTTCGGTCCTAACTAGCTGAATAACTTGAGAAGTGCAACCCTATGAATAGCCCCAAACAGTAAGTCAATTCCAAACAAGCCCAGGTGTACGGCAGCCACAGATCAACTCGCAGAGGCTGCTCCTAACGAACCCGCCTGAAGGCCCCCTGGAATGAGGGCAAGTCTAGTATAACCCCGATGACTGCAACCCGGACCCCCCCCCCGCCCCCCACCGCTGCATGGCTGAAGAGACAGGGCTTTCACTTAGGGAAGGACCCAGAAAACTTTCTCTTTAATACTCAGATACAGAGAGAAAAGCTGGAGAAGGAAGAGGGTGAGGAAGGGGAGATCATCTCAAGTGGTGCCAGCAGTGACACCACTTCCCCACTGGACACATCCAGCACGGGGCCGACCATGAGAAGCTGCAGCCTGACTCTGCCATCTTGAGTCTGAGACCAAAGCCCATGGGCCCTGCCTGGAGCCACATCTCTGCTGCCCTGCAGGACTGGGGAGGGGGTGGGGCTTCAGGGCCAGAGCCCACTCAAACCCGCCCTGGTCTGAATTCCTGCAAACTGCAAGCTGCAGTAGGAAAACCCTGTGCGGGACCTGCCACCACGGCTTCATGGGGGACTCAGGAGAGGATGCTTGAAGACCCAAGGCCCAAGGGCCACACGTCCAGGAAGATGATTTCATCCACTTGCCTCATGATACAGCGCTGACTCTTCCCAGGGCTGTACAGGGCCCCATAGAGACGGCAGACGGCACAGCTGTGCTGCCCACAAAGCCCAAGGGTCTCTCATGGCAGACTCGTTGCCTAGAAAACTTTAGTCAATGGTGGAAACTACCGGCTCCCTGGACCCTGGAAAGGCAGGGCCTCGCCCCGGGCCTCTGAGGGCAGAGGTGGGAAAGCAGCTGTCCTTGCCCGCAACCTTGAAAGGGACAATGACCACAGGCACAGCATCAGCTGGCTAAGTTTCTCTCGCTTCCGGGTAATGAGCAGCAGCTTGCAAATGACTGGCCCAGATGCTGAAGGAGAGTGTGGGCCTGGGTTTCCCGCACCGTAGGCCCCACCCTCACTGTGCTCAAGGCTAAATTCCAGGAGGAGGCGCCCTTCAGCCCAAAGGAAAACCACGAGACAACGGGAAACTGTGTGCCAACCTATCAATTTGAAGCCCCAAAGGGGGCCTGACGTCTCATGTTCATTAATTAAACATAGTCTATTTGAGGTGTAAAACCCCACGGCAGATCAAGTTGTCTCCCAGGCTCACAGCACTTATGATCTCTTAGACCATAAAAAAAAAAAGAGCAGGGTGTCTGTCACCTGCCGCCGCAGGCCAGTCAGACCCACGCATTCTTCATATGGGCCAAGAAGAGACTCAGAGCTCCCAAAAAGGAAGATGAGGAAACACCTCCTTGGCACATGCAGCCCAGGAGAGGGCAAGTGCCAACGTGGGCCTCCATCCAGGTCACCATGCGAGCACCTGTCATGCACCACAGAGGGCACAAACGAAGAGCTGGGCACAGCCCCTGCCTCCCACAGACCTGGCGGCCTCACAGGCTTACACACCTGAAATTATCTGAGAGCGACACGAGAGGAAATGCTGAAATTAAGGATCAAAATATAAAGTCATGTGCTTTGAGTGATCAAGGGGAGCGGGTGACACCTGAGCTACTGGAGGCTTAGCGACACCCTGCCTTCCAAAGAGCTCTGAACACCTGGTAAGATCCAGGTGGGGCGGGGCACTCCGGGCGAGCAGGTGTGAGCAGGAACTGGCCAAAGCCCCCGGCGCCAGAAAAGCCCAAGAGGGTCTCGACAGACGGTTCAGGCGCCTACGAAGATGTCAGGTCCACGGCCACGTTCACCCTGCCTGGGGGAGAGGCAGGCCCGGACAGAATGAGCCTGGCCCATCGAATCCGTGTGCCAACACACTGGCTGCTGCTGGAGGGCCCGGCCTCGCCATGGAGACCCGGCCCTCTGTGGCGACTTCAAGACCCAAAGAGGAAGGTGCTTTGAAAGGGTGCAAAGCCTTTTCTAAAGGCCCCATGGTGACGGCACGGGCTGAGAAACCGCAGCCAGACTGGTGACACTCAGACCTAATTGGAGCACCTCCACGGGGGACACCAGCAGCGTCCCCCATCCTGGGTGCGTGCCGCTGGCTTCTCCAGAGCCTGTTCAGGGACACGTGTGTTTCTTCCACCTCAGTGAGAAACCCATGGGGGTCAGTTCCCACCTTCCAGAGGTCACTTCTGGGAACCTTCCCTGTGCTGGCAGCAGCCCTGACTGCACAGGAGCCCGGGCCGCAGGACCCCCGTCACTGCCGGGTCTCCTAAGCGACCTGACGTGGCTCTGTGGAGCCGGGAGCTGGCGACATCACACTCCCATTCAGAGAACTAAGCAGCACGCGGGTCTACATCTAGACCTGGGCCCCTGAGTCACCCTCTCCGGGTACCATCCCGGTTCCAGTTACAGGGAGGAGGAAGTGGCGCGCTGAGACCCGGCCTCTCCCTACTCAGCACATCAGGGACCTTGAGCAAACGGGGCACGGCAGCACTGGACAGCCCTCAGCTAGCAGTGCAGGCAACGACGGAACCAACCATGCAAACCGCCTCTCAGCCTGCAATTCTAAAGGTGAAGGGGGGCTGCACCCCCCAAAAGGGCAGGCTCCGGCGCCCACAGGACCCCCGGCTCTGGGCGGAGGCCCACGCTTACGGCTTCTCGGGGAACCTGCCGACAGAGCCCCTGAACCGGGGATGGGGCTGCACCTAGGCGCCGAGGACCCCGGCCTGAGGCCCCATTCTTCCTCCCAGAGGGGGCCTGGAGAGTGGGGTGAGAAGATGGAAGGTGGGGGTGCTTCGGGGTGCAGTGAGTATGAAGGGAGGGGTGCAGAGGGGCGAGCGGTTCCCTCCCACCGTCTCTAGGAGGAACCCGCGCTGAGCCGCCTTGACTAAGGACGGCGTGCACTGATGCTCTTGTCCCTGAGCCCTGGACTGGGGCCAGGAAGCGAGGCCAGTGGAAGCCTACCTGGCCCTAGACAGGACGATGCAGCCAAAGAGCCAGCGGCTGCGGGGATGCCCTGGAGCACGGCTTCTCATGAAGGGAGGCTCGGGGGACTAGAGGGCACTTCAAGGCCAGTTTTCCATTTCACCCAACTTTTTGGAGCTGCCTGTGCTCCATGGTAAAACATGGCCACGCCTTGCGTCTTCCCTTTGCCTGGAAGTGCATCAATGTGCCTGCAGGTGCCACCGAGCTCCCTCCTGGTCAGAGCAGAGAGGCCAGTAAGGAAAGGCCAACATCAGACCATCACACCTGGGGCTACAGCTCCCCTTCAGCCGCTGCACAGCCTGGCAGGGCCAGAGGCCTCAGGCCTGCTTCCTCTGGGCGAGGCCCGGGGGACACAAGGAAGCAGGCCAACCTCCTAGGCTTTTTCAGAATAGGACACGTGGGGCTCTGAACATGGAATGAAGCGCCACGGTGGACAGACAGGGCAGGAGCCGAGGTCTGTTTTGTACACGGGCGTGAATCAAGTGCCCCCCGCCGCAGGCTGAGCCGTGGTCTCACGCTCCGTGAGCCCGCCTGGAACTATAAGATTCGCGGTACAGACTCTGTTGCTTGGGTCCCCTCCAAATCCGTACAAATGACAGAAGTTTTCAAAAGAAACTGAGCTTTCTGGATCGCCGTATTTTCAGAAACTACTTTTTAAGAAAAACCTACCCCTCCCCCGCCCAGTCACACACATTTAAACCTAAAAAAAAAAGGGGTTCTAATGAGAAAAGAGCAACAGTCATAACACTTCCTGAGAAAGGCTCAAGAAACTACGCGAAGGTAGCATACTTCCTGCTACCCAGGCGGCAGGCAGCCCTTCCTGACTAACGCAAGCCCTAACCCCCGGGCAGGGAAATGAGTGTGAATTCCCGTAGCTTACGGCAGACCAAGGCCCGCTGGAGTCCCACAAGAAGTCCGGCATTTGGCTACATGCTGACCAGATGACTCTCCTCCTGACTTGCCCAAAAGGAAGTCGATCACATCGAGGGGCCAGAAACAAAAAATATCTTTATGACCCACACTACACCTCGGGCAACCCAAAAGGCATCAAACAGCCTGACTTCCCAGCAGCCTTGAAAAAGGACACGTTTACATCACTCGGAACGCGTGTTTACAGAACACTGTCACCCCAGGTGGCTTCTGTCCCTCTGCCAGTACTCAACCCACCCACCAGCCCAGTTCGCCACCAACTACAATGCGTCCAGGGGGTGTGCATGTCAATATTAACTCAGTACAGTTACAACTTAAAAGTCAGTTGGCTGCAAATCTTATTTTAATTCCCTGCAAGATCGAATCTGAATTATTTGGGGAAACAATGCTTTGATTCGAAATATCCCCGCCACCCACCCACTCTACTGCTATAATAAACCAAGAGATGATTCTACTAAATAAACTTAACGAGTAAGGGGGACTGGGTCCCAGCATCATAGAATTCAAAGAAAAAGTAATTTCTGGAAATCTGGTGGTCCCTCAGAGCAGAAACTACTACCCGACTGAACAAGAGTATGTTGACCTGCCGTCACAACGTAAGAAAATCTAATTGCAAGAACAGTCTGCTAGTTATGTTCTCTCGTGTAATCAGGAAAGTTGGGACCCCCACCCACTCCACCCCCCCAACACACACACACACACCTAGAACAGAGAAAACAGGACCTGAGTTTCAAAAACAAAGATTTTTCTGCACATATAGCTCAAATTGAAAATAGGTGTTTTTTTTTTTTTTTGAAGGCCACAGAGAAAATATTTCCTTGTATGGAAGGTGAGCCCAATGTTATGAACTAACGCCCTCTTGACACATTTCCCACTTGGTCTCATCTACTCCAAATAACAAGTCAATTCTGCATAGTCTGATGACTCCGAAAAACCATCTGAAGTTTTTGGCCCCTGCCCAGCCCAGCTGCAGATCTGCCAGTCACTTGAACTCCTCCTGGACACTAGTTAAGACGGACCAAACTCGCCTTATCATCTTCCCCAAACCTTGTCCTTTCTTTGTTTTAGAGAAGCATGCCATCATCCACGCAGTTACCCAATCAGAAACATGACCTGCCTCCTCAGCACTACACAGGCCCCGATCAGAGCTGATTCTAATGCGACCCTCTCTTCTAGTCGCACAGTCCCTGATGTCATATAAGCCCCACCACCTCAGGCCGAGACCATTATCGAAATCTCAGAGTCACACAGAATCTCAGAGCCAGCTCCTCTCTCTCTCCCTTCCCTATTTAGTACCCTGTCACCTCCTGGAAATGGTGAGTACCTGAGGAACCTCAGAATCGCATTCTGTTGCTGCTACGATCATCAGCCCACATTGCTCACTATCTTTCCCTGAACACTTGCTCCCCCGTTCCTCACCTACCCTACTCCCAAACTTCAAAATGCAATTCCGACAGCATCTCCGCAAGAAAGCCTTCTGCGACTTCCAGGTGTGCCTCTTAGATACTGCCGTGGCTTTTTCTACCTTACTTTACTATTATTGTTGTTTATGACTCTGAGCATCTTAGGTTTTGTCTTTGTTTCCCAAGTACCTAGCAGAGCACAGCAGTGCTCTAGACAAGCACGCTGAATAAATGAATGAACCCAGCAGTCCAGAATGATGAGTCAGATGCCTGATTAAGAGAAAACGACAGTATTTCTGGCTCCCTAATTAGAAGTGATTTTAAGAAGAGTTATCTGTCACTTTGGCTGTCCCCACAACTAAAAAGAAACCACTACAGTAACAGAGCCGTTCCCTCGCCCCACTCCTCCCGCTAGCCACGAGAATTCACCAGGCACTGCAACAGTTGAGTCAGACTGGAGTGCTAAAATCTAAAATAATTTAAGCTCATGATTACACAGAACTATTATCAATGAATCAATGATCAGAGTTACAAGAAACCACATCATTCGGGGAATGAGGAATTGGGAGGTGCAACCGAACAACACAGAAGAAACGAAAGCCAGCAGCTAAGGGCGAGTGGCCACACAGACATGAGTAACCCCAAACACCAAGGCCGCAAAGAATCGAAAAAAAACCTGCAAACTGGAAAAAGCAAAAGAGTCAGAAACCTTCAGTACTGTAACAATACTGGTCAAAGCACAGGCATTATTTAAATTTAAACATAAATTTCATAATTTAAACATAAATTTCTGACCTTTGTGTTTGTGATCTCACTGAGTTTCTGGTTTAATTGTTGACCCAGAAAAACTCTCAACTTAATCAAAAATAATACTGTTTACAAAAAGGACCTTGGGAACTCAATTTGAGACTATCCAGACCGACACAATGCCCACCACCCCAATGTCCACTACCCCAACACGCACACACACACACACAACACTTAAGAGAAATATCTTTTTTAAAAGAATTTTTGAAGACTGCCCAACATCCTACAGTAATCAATTCCAGTGTTAAACAATGATTAATAATGAAGTGTTTTTCGTATAGTTTAAACACATCCAGGGAAATGACAAAATCGCCTAAACATCTCATCTTCAAGGAGAGATGACTTCTTGAAACTTTAAACCAAATTTCTCAGTAGTCTGATGCAAGGACCTAGAAGTCACCTGACTTCACTAACCACTGGAATGGACAGGTCTTTGCTAAGAACCCTCCGGAAAATGGAGAGGCCACCTCTTCTCCGCCCCCACTGTCACGGGGTTCACTGATGTGAGTCTTAAAAGCCTTTCTGATCAGTAGGCTTCCAAGAGTTCCGTCCTGCCCTGACTCTACCATCTAAAAGTTCCCCTAAATCAAACCTTCTGCTGAAAATCTTTCACTATCGCCCAGTATGTAGCAAGTTCCTCTCCATACCCAGAATCAGCACCCATGACTGGAGCACAGATCTCAGTACAAAAGGCCAGGGGGTCAAATCTCGCCCAAGTAGCACAGATAAAAATCTGAGACAATGCAAACTCCATGTAAGGATACAGTTCTAACTTTTTTTTTTTTTTTACGGATCATGTGTAAGGCTCCAATCTAATAATAGAACTATTTGCACACAAGAGAACTTTTTTTTTTTTAATCTTAGCAATAAGCGGCGGGCCTCTCGGGTCAGCATGTTCTTGGCAAATGTTTACTCTGAGAGACCACTGCCTGAACAAATTGCTTCAAAGTCTACTTCACCATTTACATAACTCACTTCAGTATTTTTCCAGAACACAGGCCCTTTGAAACGTGTAGAAGGGGGTTCGAGTGGTTCCTCTTCCTTGCCTGACTGACTCAGGATTGCTTCACAGCCCTCTCTGGCAGGATGTGAGAAATGCTGAAGGCACAGAATCCCAGCAGGGCTGATTCACGCCCGCCAGTCACCTCGCGGCCAGGATTACTTAAGGAAAAGACCCCTCCGAGCCCAGTGTCTCTCGCGACGAGACGCGCCAACGCTCCCATGCTGGGGGCCTAAGCAACACATGAGCTCGGCCCCCTCCCCTAGTGCACGCATAGCCCCCGGGTCAAGTGGAAGCGCGGCCTGTGGCCGGGCTCGCCTCGGG